TTTGCACACCAGTTTACCACACTTCATGAGTGGCTGTGTTACGCATTCCAAGGGGCAGTCGCTGCGATGTGTGCCATTAGGTTTGTATTTGTACCAGGTAAATTCGCAGTGGCATGAAGAATTCCTGCGAACGAAGCCATTTCGGGTGTTATCTGAACTGATCGCCTGTTTCTTTCATTCAGGCTAGCTTTTGATGAACTGCTCACGGAAAATCATTTAATAAGGAACTTTTTATTGTACATGAGATTCTAAAACACAAAAACAATTAAACAATAAGAAATTGAGAACAGTTTAGAAAGCAAATAGTTTCATTAAAGCTATTGGAACAACTGCAAAGAGTGCTGAGAGCTTTGTGGACGAATTGCAGAGGTCTGATCCACAACAGCAGGTTAGAGCTCCACCAATACCAGAGTAGCAACCATTCTTCTATAACATCAGAATTACGGTAATTGAATTTGAGAACTATTACACTATTACTGTAAAAGTTCAGTCATCTCTAAAGGGGCTCAAACATGAGCATCAATAGACTGGGGCCTAATAAATATGTATAGGGGCGCCCAATCGCTGTTATTCCCTAGTTACACAGTTTTTTCACGAATTTTTTTAGTGGGGTCAGTAAATCCTGCCACCATTTAGAGCTTGCACTGAAAGTGGTCGCAGGTTCCGATTATGGCGAAGGAGATTTTCAAAGGCGGGGCTCGGGGGTATATGCTACCCTTTCCCTGGATAGGGGGACGAGAATCACTTTGAATATGATTTGCCTTCTCAACCATATTTACCTTGAAAAAGGATAAAGGAAAGGATTTGCGTGAGTAAAGCGAAAAGGGGCTGGAGGAAATGCAATTGATCACGAAGACAAACAAATTCAAGGGGATTTGTGTCTCCCTGCCCTTGGGGGAAGGATAGCGTACGGTCTCACGCCAAAGAGGCCGTTCCGAAGGATTGTTCTGGAGGTGCATCTCCTCTCCACAGAGCTCATCTGAGGTCCCACTTACCAGGTCAATCGGGCCATGGGCTATCGTGAATGATTTTCCTTTCCAGCTGATACATGCGACACGGTTTGGTCACGGGCCAACAGCTTCCTCACCCCACGTCTGAAGCTTCCTTTCAAAGCTGAGGTCAAATTCGGAGACTAATTTTGGGAGTCAAATTATGCGATGGTTTGCGAGTTCCGAGTTGAAACTCACTACGAATCCGAGCATTTGTGAAATGACCACGAATTTTGAAAAAAAAACAGCAGTATTTCGAGTTTTTTAGAGGATTCGCTTTTGCTACCTTTGTTGCAGGTCTTAGCTGAGGTGAACTTGGAAACTTACAGTGCACATTTTCGTCCCATCGCATCCATAGTTATATGTTGTTTTATCACCTACACTCGCTACGACCCTGAAAATATACAGCTATTAATTGGAAGAGAGAAATTTAAAACGAAAATATGTTGGAGCGGAGAACATACTGGATCAAAAATCAACACACTGGATCAAAAATCATTTTCTAAACAAGCGATATCTTACTTCGTACAGTACGAAAGACAATCGGTTTTGGCACTTGGATTCCCGTCTGAAGTTGTTATTCCTGTAAACAAACCAGAAATTAGGAATTATCATAAAAACAAAAAATCCACTTAGTAATGAAAAAACTAGAAGTCTAAAAAGGAACTATTTGGGCCCAGCTATGGATGGGTAAACATTTATGCGCTAAATTTTTATTTGGAGATCTGCCAATAAAAGGGTTCCCTATTATAGACACCATAGAATTGTCCCAGTGCAAACAACACCGTAAGTCGGTGTCAGGGGAAAGGAAACATCCTATGAAGTACATGCACGTGTGAATGTAGATGTTGGAGTCGTGGCTTTGTCTTCCTGTGCTGTGCCTCAGCAAAAGGAAACTCTTAACCGCTGAGAGACCCTCTAACCCCCGGCTGGAGGAGAAACTCTCAGACATATTCCCTGAAACCGAATAAAAGGTAAATGTCTCCGAAACATCTTGAATTGATTTCTCTGTTCAAATACTGAACATGAATCTTATGAGATGATAATAAACCAGGTCAAACTCAGGGACCACATACGTGTCAGTTGAACTCCCCGCGAAACTTCTCCTCAAAAGCTAGTAGCCTGCTCACAATAATATTACTTTTCGTAGACTTTTCAGTTATCCAGCACAAGAACACATAGACACTACCCAAAGAACCTGAAGAAATAATGTAAGAACGAAGCTGATAGCAGTTCCCAAAGTTAAAGGAGTCCCTGAGCCAAATTGGCATCAGAGCAGACTGTGCACCGCAACGTCCTGCCTTACGGGATGAGACCCATTTCATTTTTCAGGAAGCGTTACCGTAGGCCTTCAGTAAGGATACTGTAAAAGAGGCGAAGAATGTTCAGTTCCGTCTATTTGCCATGATGACACCACTTTATTTACCCTCTGTCTCGCAAAAAGAATCCGGGTTATTTTTTATAGTTACTGCTATAACTCCGAGGAATGATGGGCGAATTCCAATGGAGGAATGGTACAGAAGGCATCGTAGATTATTTCACATATCGTTGTAACCCTTGCACCCCTCCAGCATCTCCCAGACCAACCAAGTTTCCCACACCCGGAGTCGGACGACTGTTATCATATGTCCCTACTGCCAGCGTTCGCTGTTTTTACAAGCCAAGCCGCCCTCAGACGCCATCAACGTCCCAACTGTTATCGTATAACTGAAGGGGTGAGATCAACAAGAACCAGGGATTTTCGGCTATAGGGTCCTATATGCTAATCAACCAGGATCAGTCTGGCGGCAACTGGCAGGCATGCTCGGCAACATAGACGATCCCTCCAACTACGATGTGGTTCAAGTTTGAGAATCTCAGAGAAGGCAGAATGTGTTCTGAATCTCGAAAAGTTGTAATGTCTGAAGATTAATTTATTTCCCCTTTTCAACTAGTTAAACCTATATTTCCGATTTTGAACTACTTGATTCAATAGCTTAAGTACTCGATAACTAAAAGTGGTCTCTAAGAAAAGTCGTGGTTATGAAGGCAGTGAACCGATGACACGCAGAACTCAAGAAATGGAATCTGGGCTGTTCTAGCGCATGATGAGTGACAATGGTGACCCTCTGGGTCAAGAGGACATGTTAGCCTAATCATGGAACCATTTTTGAACGAGTTCGAATACTAGTGACCTTACCATTATAGCATTGAAAGGCGATGGCTGAGCAGACAAGAGCCAGGAGGAACACGGCAACTCGCATTGAAGGCATTATAGGTGACTATGGCGGTTCGGTGATTTCTGGCCCTTTATATGCATGTTTACAGAGATGACTGATACGATTCGGCTCCGCGGTTCCTTTTTCGACAGCGTTTCCACGCGTTGCGTTAGTCACCTTGAAAAATCGAACAAACACCACGCTGATCAGGCAGTAAAGTGATGTGTTGCTAGTAAGAGCTGAATCATGTACGATAGGGACTGATTAATTTACGTGAGCGCCGTAAGATAAGGCAGCTGCGACGAAATGTACAGTCATATGGAGGAGTCTTCTGCGTAGGTGGAAGTAGTACTTCCTAACCTTGACCAAGTGGACACAGAGTGTTCTAGGAGTCATCAGTTGGGTCATTGTAAAACATTGATAACACTAAGTTGTAGCCCACGCAGTTGCTTATTCAAAGATACTGTAACTGGCGAGAATCTGACAAAAGCAGAGGGGATTGCTGTTGAGAGTCTCAAGGACTGATAAACAAAAGAAGAGCGATTTCTGATGGAGTTCATATTTCAACAAAAAAGTCCACTTTAGTCCAAGGTCTTTACATTCCACAAAAATAAAGCGGGAAGAAGTTTGATACAAGGATTGCCAGAAAATATTATAAAAATGCTGACTTTCTGGCATACTCAAAGCAGCGTCGACAGCACATGCTGAGCAGACCTCATAATTTAATCCTTTACGCGGCCCCAAATTTCTTGCGATAGTATGGCAACCGTTCACAACTTGTAATATCCATGGAGGGGGCGAAAGTGGTGTTCATAGT